CCACTATCAATCTACACATACAGGAGCTGTTTTCTCCACTGCCTAGAACCTTGCATTGCCATTTTCACCTTTGTAAAATGCCACCAAATCAGAATCATGCTGCTAGCCTTTTACACTCACTCTTCCTGGGTGTGAATGACTGCACAAGGTGCATGCAGAGGAAAATTGGACCCAGGGCCTCCCTGCTCCCACACAATCACTATCCATCTCTAGTCTGACTAGATCCTCAGCTAGTGGAAACTGGCATAGTTCCATTGGCTTCATTGGAGCTACAGTGATTTACTCCTACTGAGGATCTGCCCCATAGTTTCACCTTTCCCTACTAGCCAGGTTGAGAACTGAGTCCAGAGCCTAAACGTAAGGGATTTTGAAAGGTGAACCCTGCAGAATTTCATTTCACAGGCTACCTGTGCTGTAATGTAATATCCTTGAACAAGTTAATTTGTAAAGCCTTCAGCTCTTGGAAACTGCTTAAGGAACACAAGCTAATGACATTTTACTTGTCTATTAAAAAAACATTCATCTGGAGCAAGTAGGTGAGTAGAATTCCAGTGCTCTGCCTTAGGGTATGATCAGCCAATGAGAGTTTATTCTTTTGATACAGTGCTTCTATCTTGTTTTCATTGGCTGAGCATGTTTTCACTCGGTATCCTGTGAGTGAAAACATGCTCTCACAGGAAGTTGGTCCTTATATAGATTATAAGGCCAGAAGAGACCACTATGAGCATCTAATCTGAGGCCATAGGACTTCCCTGAATTAATTTGTTCAAACTACAGCATATCTTTTAGATGGACTTCCAGCAGAATGGATCTGAACTCAAATATATCCTTGGTCCTGGAGTTTCAATTAAACAATTGAATCAATCTCTTAATAAGAACAGTTGTTTTTCTTCTAACTCTCCATGAGTTTCTTTTCCTCCAATCAATACAATATACTCTATATTCCCAATCACCACCACAGGAGGAACTGATCCTGCCAGTTAATATTTAGACACATAGGCTATGTCTACACTAGAAATGCTGAAGTGGCAGCACTGTAAGCTCTGTAGTGTAAACACTTACTATAGCAATGGAAGGAGTTATTCCGTCACTATAGGAAATCTGCCTCCACAAGAGGCAGTAGCTAGGTTGACGGAAGAATTCTTCCATCAATCTAGTGGTGTCTACACTAGGGGCTTAGGCTGGGTTAACTACATTGTTCAGGGGTATGAGGTTTTATAGTATAGACCAGCCCTTAGAAGCCTACATCTCATTGAAAGTCAGTGGAACATAGGCTCTTAAATGTCTACATCAATTCTGAAACTGGGACTTAGGCTCCAAAATCACATAGGCACTTTTGAAAATTTTAACTTCTCTAATATGCCCTACAATATGGGTTATCAGTCTGGGGGTTACAACGCCCCAGGGAGGGTCACAAATGGGTTGTGATCATCCTCCTTTTCTTTGTGACAAGATTGCAGAGGTTCCCCAAAACTGATGGAGGGAGAGTCTCAAAAATATTTTCTCTTGTAATATGGGGTCACGGTATGGAAAAGGTTGAGAACTACTACCCTACAAACACACCTGTTCGCTTAATCAAGGCACAAGATTGAAGGTCCCTCTGGAGTATCGTGATGCATCTTAGAGCACCCAGGGAATGTTTCTGTACCTCCCTAAAGACAGCATGGACTCCCCTCTGCAACCAGCAATCTCTGCTGGCTAGTGCTGAGGGAACAGGGCCATGGCTCCACCTTCTTACCCAGTCCTGTTGCAGGGACTAGCACCATGAGTGCAAGAACTCCCTTTGTACCTGGGCCCTGTGTGAGGGGTGGGGAACAAAGAGAAGAGGCTCCTGTACCCTCTCACTCCCTAGCATAAGAGCTGGGACAATCTGGCCCCAAATGGCAAATAGCTCCACAGTCACCTCATACTGCTCTCTTCTCTTTAGAGACTCTTTTCCCATCAAACTCTCCTTTGCATCCTCAAGTGTATATAAGAATTACTCTCTTCTACTCTGTTCAATCATCATTAGTTACACCAACAACCAGCTCTGGAAATCTCTTGTCTTTCTGGTACATTCAAACTCTGTGCAGTGTTTTATGTGCCCTAATTTACACCTTCAGCCCAAGACGATGGCAGATTCTTGTATAATAGTTAATAATTATTAAATGGTTGCAGTGTTGTAGCCATGTTGGTTGTGAAGAAAAGGCGTGGAGCTTAAAAGCTTGTCTTTTTCACCAACAGAAGTTGGTCCAATAAAAAATATCCCCTCACCCACCCTTCTCTCTAAGAATTATTAAAGGCATTTAAAAAAGCCATATTTCCTCTTCTTTGCAATCAGAAGTAGTGATCAGAAAACCTTTTCTGTTACACTGGGATTTTCCTTTGATGAATTTCATCTTCCCCTGGCAGTTCTGAGAGTTAAATAGAAACAGACCCATTTTCCTATTTTCCTGCATGTTTAGACTCATAGCTTTGCTATTAATATGACATACAAAAATAATCTCCAAGAGAGATTTTGCTGTTTGAAGTTGTATCAGTTTAATACGTTTGGCTCCAGATGCCCTCAGAGAAGCTGCATAGAGTCATTATTACTAATATGCTCCTGCAGAAAGACTCTTCCATGCTATCTTGGGATAGGGAACCTGGTTTGATTTAGCTTTGCTTGTCTGGAAGGACACAGGAATTACTGTAGGTCTTGCTTAATTTCTCTGGATATTCTGAAAACACAGTTTAAGAGTATTATTCTTTGGGACATTTCCCTGGAGGGCAAAGCAAAAGTTTCAGCATAACACTTAGATAAGTGCTGGAGAGAAACTGGTTTAAAAGACACACTGTTATATATCTTGTGGTCTTGTCTGAAATTAGCTCGGTACTAGTCTTCGGTTGTCTTCTAAAATAATAGCTGGACACTTCATCCACTTCTTACCACAGAATGATATTTTGGGCCTACCACGATATAGGTAAGATACCTAAGGACAGCAAAACTTTGTCAAGAACTCCTGGGTCTTTCCTCATAAACCCTATTCACAAAGAACAAGCTTAGCATGAACTCCTCTCAGGAGTAAGTTTGAAAGATGTGGTGGATACCAGAATCATATAAATTATTCATTAACAGACTGCATCTATATATAATCTGAGCTGTGGCATCTTATTATAGACATCTTTAAGGAAAATAATTTAGAACAGGTAATTCTTTGTATTAGTGCCTCTGCAATAGTATGCTTATAGGGAAACTGGTAGGCAATATAGAAAGAGATTTCAATCCCTCCCTCTAAATAACAAGAAGAGCAAATCACCGCATTTTGTTTTCAAAACTTCTTACGTAGAATTAAAAAAATCAAATGGGAAGCTGCTGTCATGACAGTCTGATGTAGATTAGGACTCAGAAGCCTATATTCTGACCCCCAACCTGTCTCTCACAGGATAAAAAAAATAGTCACTGATTTCCATGCTAATAAGGTTCATGAATTGTGCATGATTGCATGCGATGGACAGGTGACTTTCAAAATAGTTGTTAGATAAGTCTCTTATGTAAACTGATGTAAACAGTAGTCACCTATTAAGAGAACCAAGAATGTATTTTACTGAAGGATAGCTCAGTGCTTTGAGCATTTGCCTGCTAAACTCAGGGTTGTGAGTTCAGTTCCTGAGGGGGCCACTTAGGGATCTGGGGCAAAATCAGGACTTGGTCCTGTTAGTGAAGGCAGGGGGCTGGACTCGATGACCTTTCCGGATCCCTTCCAGCTCTATGAGATAGGTATATCTCCATATATTTTTTATTTACATTACAATAGCTTTGACAGCTGCTTGTCTTTTTCGTGCTTTCACACAAAAACTACATTGCCTGGCTCCCAAAGTACATGATGGGAGGAAAGTTGTTCATATAGATAAGCCACAGGACTGAGAGTAAGATGATCTCGGTTCTAGTCCTGATTCTGCTACAGATTTCCCGTGTGACCTTAAGCATGTCACTAACATGTACCTCTGTGCCTCAGTTTATCCATCTCTAAAATGGGGATATTATCTCTACAGATGCTCCCCAAGTTACGTAAACCCAACGTACACAAATCCGAATTTACGGAAAAAGTTCCATAAGCTAGAAATAGGAGTTTTTGTTGTTGTTGTTGTTTTGCGTAATGGTTGGAGATATGTTTCCAACTTACGCAAAATTCGAGTTATGCAAGGCGTTCCGGAATGGAACGATTGCGTAAGTCGGGGAGCGTCTGTACTTCACAGGGATATTGTGAGGCTAAATTCATTAATGCTTTGAAATGGTGCCACAGAACTGCTAAGCGTTAGTATCATTGTCAAACTAGGCCTTCTGTTGAGAAGTATCAGTATAATGGCAGTTCCCACTGAGAGAGACTTCAGCACCTGTCATAGACCTGGAGATACAGAAACTGTGATGAACACTGGTTAACTACATACATACCACATAGCATGCTTCTTAACAAGATAATCTTCTTTAGTAAAAATATAACTTTCTGTGCCATTGTAACTGATCAGTGAAGTTGTCCTTCAGAGGACAAAACCTTTCCACCTGAATCTTGGTTGATGTAAATCTGAAATCAATGGGGCAATCCTGATTTTCAGCTGCTGAGGATCCCACTTGTATTATGTTCATGCTTTGTGACTTGATTTTGGCTGTGTACATTTCCATTCTAAATACATTTTTGGTCACTTCTCACTTACCAATCAAAAGAAAAACTCATTTGGGGCTGATACCAGGAATAGAAATTCCAGACCTAAATGATGTTTTCTTGGTTGAGAAAGTGAGAAGTAACTGAGAATGGGTTTAGAATGGAAATTCCATCTCTAGAGCTTTGCTGTAATGCTGTTCTGCAGTGAAGGAACATGACTTTCTGGCCCGAACCTTCTCAGCCACTAGTTTTCAAACCATCTTCATGCGGTAGCCCTGATATGAACAGAGGGGCTCTGTGACTACAGAGAGGGTTCAGGATTGTTGCTAAATGCTCTGTACAGTCTGTGCCATGACCCTCATGGTACGCTAGCTGCATCACAGAATTCCAGCCTGAGTGATCTCACAGGGCTCAGCTGGACCAAGGGAGTTAGTGGAGATACATAGTGAACAAAACTGTCATAGCAAATCTAAGAGGGATGTTTATTCCATGGACCATTCAGCATTTTGAAGACAAAGAATTTGTATGCCATCCCCTTCTTCCCCCACACGTTTGTGCCAAGACGGGCGTCTCACATCAGGGAGATGAATAGCAGGTCTGTTTCAGCAGCTGTGCTCTCTTACCCAGAGAAAGCATTATAGAGTCCCTGGGACTGCAGAGTCCCAAGCTACTGTGCAGTCTGCAGAAGGCTGAGGAAGAGACCTAAGGGCAAAAGGATGGCATCAGAAGGGGAAATCATCAACCTTCAAGTGAGTCCATCTTGGGGAATTACCAAGAGGGAAGTGGGAGGGTAGAGGGAGGCAGTAACAATTCCTGTCATTTACTCCTCTGTTTTGGTACTGTTTTGAAACTTCTTTGCTGAAATTTTCAGCCCCCTTTGGAGAGAAGCTGATTGCAGGTTCATCTCAACACTCTGCTAATGAAAGGGCTTATTAGCTCCTTATTGTGAAGGAGACAGGATGAGAGAAGAGCTGCAGGATCTTACTAGAAAGAACTATTTTTGTGGCGAGAGTGAAACACCAGAGGCGGTTAGCGTCCAGGTCTGAGAGGGAGGCAGTGCGAATTTTACTAGCTGTAAGAGTTTGAGCTGTTCCCCTCCTCACAAAGCCCTTCTGTGTTTGGCAGAAAGTGCTCCCAGTCTAGAGAAAAGGAAAAGAAATACATATAGCAAATGCTGAGAGAGAGCACAAGCCAGGCTTTCCTATGTGGGGTTGACTGAGAAACAAAACGTACTGGTAAAGCTCCTTCAGTCCTGGTGGGTTTCCTTTTGCAGGTGTTTGTTTTTTAAGGAGGGTGTTTCTTTGGACTCAGTATGTCTTTTAGGAAAGGGCAACTCTCCGAGGGGTTGGAAAGAAGTTATTAGGATTGAAATCAAGCCCCCTGATCAGAAACATTTGCCAAATTTGGGAAAGTTCAGATTCAGATCTGCACCTGGCAGCTGGCCCCTTCTCTAGAACTACTCCAAACATAGTCCTAGACTCAACTCCCAGATTTGGGGAAGTTTGAACCAGTATCCAAACTTTGCAGTTGGCCTCCATTTTTAGAGTGGCCTAAGCCAAATTCTTAGAACTGAACAGAGCAAAACCTTAGGGAAGTTCAGATCTAGGTCAAAATCTCTAGAGACTATAATGCAAAGAATTGGGCCTGTTGTTATGGAAGTCATCAAAGCAGTACTGAAGAGGACTCATTCCCACAATCCCAAAATTTTGTAACAGGGAATGGCAGAACAAAGAGAGTGACTGACTGGGGCAGGGGCCTGATGCAGGCAGATTCATAAGGACACTTCAGCAGAGGAATGAGATGCAGTGAAAGCTCTTAAAGGGCTGGAATGGGTGTCCTCAGATACAATAGGAGAAAAAAAGAGCAGTATTCAAAGGTAGCTTTGCCAAGTGGTGAAGCTTAGGGTTACCATATTTTGTGCCTCCAAATGGAGGACACTCCACGGCCCACGGCCCCGCCCCCAGCCCCGCCCACACCCCTGCCCAACCCCGCCCCCTCCCCAAAGTCTCCGCCCCCTCCCCTGCTTCCCGCGAATATTTGATTCGCGGGAAGCCTGAAGCAGGTAAGA